TGCCAGAACTATGACTTGCCCAAGGCCATTCAGCAGGTGCAAGTGGAGGAGTGGGGAATCAAACCGGGTTCTCCCAGAGTACAGTTTGCGCACTTAACCACTACACCAAACTGGCTCTACACCAAACCCACTGACACGTCTACCACTAAGGCACCCAGATAACAAGCTCAAGGATCGGCACAAGCTACGCCAAACAAGCATTAGCACCTTATGGGTAATAGGAAAAAAGAGACTTGTGGCACAAACGTTCATAAACTAGCACCCATCAGCAGAAAAAGTTATCGAACGACAATGCCTAAGCTATTACTAGGGGTGCCTGGGCTACAGTTATTCTCGGATCTGATGAAATAAGCACTATAATCTATAAATGTTTATGACACACTTAGTCTTTAGGGAGCTGCAAGCCTCATTTGTGTGCTCAAGTGGTTAAGACACTGAACTGCAGGCTGGAAGGTCGGTAGTTCAGCAGTTTGAGACCCAAGTGCCGCATGACGGAGTGAGCTCCCATCTCTGGTCCCAGCTCCTGCCAACCTAGCAGTTCGAAAGCAAGAAATTGCAAGTAGATAAATAGGTACCGCTTTGGTGGGAAGGTAACAGCGTTCCGTGCACCTTGGTCGCATGACCACGGAAACATCTTCGGACAGCGCTGGCTCTTTGGCTTGGAAACGGAGATGAGCACCGCAACCCTAGAGTCGGATTCGATTGGCTTTCGAGCAAGGGAAACCTATAACAGATTACCACAGCTATTCTGCTGGAATTTGTATCTGAAGAGTGCATACCAAGCCAATGCTCCTCCAAAGCTGTAACACGCTAGAACTATTAGTGAATTATGTTCACCAGTGGAAAAGCAACATCAACCAATCACACATAAGATGACTTTAAGAACATAAGAGATGCCAATGTTGGATCAGGCCAAAGGCCCATCCAATCCAACACTCTGTGTCACACAGTGGCCAGAAATACCAGTGCCATCAGGAGGTCCACCAGTGGGGCCAGGACATTAGAAGCCCTCCCACTGTTGACCCCCCCCCAAGCACCAAGAAGAAAGAGCATCACTTGCCCCAGAGCCCCTATCTATACCTTGTGGCTAATAGCCACTGATGGACCTCTGCTCCATATGCTTATCTAATTCCCTTTTGAAGCCGTCCATGCTTGTAGCCGCCACCACTTCCTGTGGCAGTGAATTCCATATGTTAATCATTCTTTGGGTGAAGAAGACCGCTCAGCAATTTCATGGAGTGCCCACGGGTTCTTGTATTGTGAGAAAGGGAGAAAAGTACCTCTTTCTCTACCTGCTCTTTCCCATGCATAATCTTATAAACCTCGATCATGTCACCCCTCAGTCGTCTTTTCTCCAAGCTAAAGAGCCCTAAGCGCTTTAACCTTTCCTCATAGGGAAAGTGTTCCAACCCTTTTATCATTCGAGTTGCCCTTTTCTGCACTTTTTCCAAAGCTATAATATCCTTTTTAAGGTGTGGTGCCCAGAACTGCACACAGTATTCCAAATGAGGTCTTACCATTGAGATCGCACCATTGATTTCTATAGGGGCTGATCTGTTTTCAATACTCTTCCTAATAATCCCCAGCATAGCATTGGCCTTCTTTATTGCAGTCACACACTGTCTCGACATTTTCAGTGAGTTATCTACTACAACTCCAAGATCTCTCTCTTGATCAGTGTCTGCCAGTTCAGACCCCATCAATGTGTATTTATAGTTAGGATTTTTGGCTCCAATGTGCATCACCTTGCACTTGGCCACATTGAACCCCATATGCCATGTTGATGTCCACTTGCCCATCCTTGACAGATCCCTTTGGAGTGCCTCACAATCCTCACTGGTTTTCACCACCCTGAACAACTTCGTATCATCCGCAAATTTAGCCACTTCACTGCTTACTCCCATCTCCAAATCATTAATGAACAAGTTTACTCATTAATGAACAACTTTACTCTTGATTATCTATAATACCCAGCACATTCTGGTTCTATGATGACAATTATGGTATAGAATCCCAAATCCATCCCCAGAAGCATAGAGAAAATGGGGGCAGAGAAGCCACATTACCATTAATATCCAGTTTGATGGCAAGTGAAAGGTAACTGACTTTATAGAGGGATAATTCTCAAGTGTCAGGTAACTTCAGGGTTGCTTACACTGTATCTAGGCAACAGCTTATCCCCAAACTGATTTTTCACTGTAGAGCTAAACTGGAAAAGGGGAAAGGTGGCAAAGGTGGTACAGGAAGCAGCAATCACCACCATCCCAAAGAAAAAGAAATGCAAGAAAGCAAAGTGGCTTTCTGATGAGGCTTTACAAATAGCAGAGGAAAGAAGGAAAGCGAAAGGCAAAGGCGAAAAGGAAAGATTTACCCAACTGAACGCAGATTTCCAGAGAACAGCAAGGAGAGATAAGGAGGCCTTCCTGAATGAACAGTGCAAAGTAATAGAAGAAAACAATAGAATGGGAAGGACTAGAGATCTCTTCAAGAAAATTGGAGAAATCAAGGGAGCGTTCCATGCAAAGCTGGCCATGATAAAGGACAAAAACGGTAGGGACCTAACAGAAGCAGAAGAGATTAGGAAAAGATGGCAAGAATACACAGAAGAACTATACAAGAAAGACCTCGATGTCCTTGACAACCACGACGGTATAATCACTGACCTCGAGCCAGACATCCTGGAATGTGAAGTTAAATGGGCCTTAGAAAGCATTACTAACAACAAAGCTAGTGGAGGTGATGGTATTCCAGCTGAGCTATTCAAAGTCTTAGAAGATGATGCTGTTAAAGTGCTGCACTCCATTTGCCAGCAAATTTGGAAAACGCAACAGTGGCCACAGGATTGGAAAAGGTCAGTATACATTCCAATCCCAAAGAAGGGCAATGCCAAGGAATGTTCAAACTATCGCACAATTGCACTCATATCACACGCTAGCAAGGTCATGCTCAAGATCCTACAAGCTAGGCTTCAACAGTACGTGGATAGAGAACTACCAGAAGTACAAGCTGGGTTTCGAAGAGGTAGAGGAACTAGAGATCAAATTGCCAACATTCGCTGGATTATGGAGAAAGCAAGAGAGTACCAGAAAAACATCTACTTCTGCTTCATTGACTATGCTAAAGCCTTTGACTGTGTGGATCACAACAAACTATGGCAGGGCCTTAAAGAGATGGGAGTACCAGACCACCTCACATGTCTCTTGAGAAACCTGTATAAGGGCCAAGAAGCGACAGTTAGAACCGGATATGGAACAACTGATTGGTTCAGCATAGGAAAAGGAGTACGACAAGGATGTATATTGTCACCTTGCTTATTTAATATATATGCAGAGTACATCATGCGAAATGCTGGCCTGGATGAATCACAAGCGGGAATTAAGATTGCTGGGGAAAAGATCAACAACCTCAGATATGCAGATGATACCACTCTAATGGCAGAAAGTGAAGAGGACCTAAAGAGCCTCTTGCTCAGAGTAAAAGAGGAGAGCGCAAAAGTGGGCTTGAAGCTCAACATCAAAAAAACTAAGATCATGGCATCCGGCCCCATCACTCCTTGGCAAATAGAAGGGGAAGTCGTGGAAGTAGTGACAGACTTCACGTTCCTGGGATCCCAGATCACCGCAGACTGTGACTGCAGCCATGAAATTAAAAGACGCCTGCTCCTTGGGAGGAAAGCGATGGCGAACCTAAACAGCATGATAAAAAGTAGAGACATCACCCTGCCAACAAAAGTCCGCATGGTCAAAGCAATGGTATTCCCAGTAGTCATGTATGGCTGCGAGAGTTGGACTATAAGGAAGGCCGAGCGCCGAAGAATAGATTCTTTTGAACTATGGTGCTGGAGAAGACTCTTGAGAGTCCCTTGGACTGCAAAAAGATCAAATCAGTCAATCCTAAAAGAAATCAACCCTGACTGTTCCCTGGAAGGCCAGATAATGAAACTGAAGCTCAAATACTTTGGCCACCAAATGAGAAGGGAGCACTCCCTGGAGAAGACCCTGATGCTGGGAAAGATTGAAGGTCAAAGAAGACGGGGACGGCAAAGGATGAGATGGTTAGACAGTGTCATCGATGCAACGAACATGAAATTGAGCCAGCTTCAGAGGACGGCGGAAGACAGGAGGGCCTGGCGGGAGATGATCCATGGGGTCGCGAAGAGTCGGACTCGACTGTGCGACTGAACAACAAAAAAGAAGGCATTCCAACCAACATAGTAGCTTTTGTAGATATAGTGATAGCTAGACAGTAACTATAAAGCTATTGGCCATAACTATATAACTCTTCAGATCGTAACCCACACTCAACTTCCTGGCTGGACTGTAGAAAAGATCAAGAGTCCAGTAACATCTTAAAGACTATCAAAATTTGTGGCAGGGTATGAGCTTTCGTGAATCACTGCTCACCTGAAGTTATTTGAAGAAGTAAGTAGTGACTCACGAAAGCTCATACACGACCACAAATTTTGTTAGTCTTTAAGGTGCTACTGGACTCTTGATCTTTTCTACTCCTACAGGCCAACCCATCTTGATCTATCTCCTGTTGAGACTAACAGCAATGTATGCAAATTGGCAAAGTTCCCATGTGGTTTGTGGATGCCAGCCACAAATCAGTAAGTTTGGAAAAGCCACCTGTACAGAAGCTTCATTAGACACTTCTGCAAATGAGCGAGAACAAGCCAAAGTCTGTCCAGTGTCTCACATTTTCTACATTTCATTATCTTTCACCTCTACAGTTCTAAACACGTCACTACTAGCATTGATACGTCACATGTTCAAAGCACTTCACATACTAATTCCTACAAGAGCCTTGTAAAGCAGGCTAGCACGATTATCCCAGGGACACAGAAAGCACCATAGAAAAAGCTGTCCACAAGCTTCCGGATCTCCAAGAGAGTGTTGCCCTACACTCGTTGTCGATAATCACGTGGAAAATTAGAGACCTGGAACAGCAGTGCCTTAGCCCCGATCCCTTTCCACCCACGTGGGAGATTTAGCAGTTACCTGACCGCTCTGTCGCAGCAGCTCCTTTGCCGCTTTCTGATAGCCAATCTGGACCAAGTGCTGGTGCACAAGCGCCAGTAACTCCTTCTCCTCGCTACCCGCTGCTGCCATGCTCCTTTTGATGCTGTTTTAGTCAGCGCCTTCTACCCTCACGACAGGCCGGGGGTCAGCAACGGGTAGCAAGGGAGCCACATGTCCCTAACCTCCTGCTCCTGTACCCTTTGACCACGTATACTTCACTTCCTGTTATCGAATCTCGCCTCCACGGGCTTCTGGGAAATGTAGTCTTATCGGAAATTTTCGGCGCTCCCCCGCTTTTGTTGTGCTCCGTCGCCCAACTTGCCTTAATTCTAGGTCTGATACTTTTTGAGTAGAAATTGGACGTTCAAGGCCATGGTCACAGGATTAGGCATAGGTTACGAGGATGCACGTTTTGCAGCCTAGGTTTTGTTTGCAAGCACACTTAAAGACTACTGCCGCCTTGACTCACGTGTTAATAAACAAGGTTGGCGAGTAGACTGCGTAGTATTTCAGCTAGCAGATGGGGGTGCATCTTACGTACGGTCCACCCCTCCATTTCTCATTGCAGTGCGAAATGCTGCCTGCAGCCTGTCCTTTTATACGCGATCTTTTTACCTATTAGCAGGGAGTTGTTTTTACATGGAGGATATTCAAATATAGCATTGCCCATTCTGAAGTGGAACAATCCTTTTTAAACACCTCTGTAGCTCCTCATCTTGTTTCAGAAACAAGCAGGCGATAGTTAAGTGGTGAGCGTTTGATCGGTTTACGGTGCCATTCTAAGAACCCTTTCCTGGGAGCAAACATGAGAAGGATTCTTAGTAGACCTTCTTAGGGTTGCTCTCTTAAACACCATCTGTCCTTTCACTGCCAAAGTGTAGAATTGCCAATAACCCGGAGAAAGAATATCCCCCTACCCCCCACCCCCGAAGCTTGATGGGATGTTGTTTACCAAGGTGATGTTATTGACTTCCATGCTAGGGAAAGTGCAACTGCCCATTTCCAGACATTAAACCTCTGACAAAAGGGCAGGACTCCTTTTGCCGTGCTGCTGCCAACTGCAATGTGTACCTTATTGGATCTTCTACCTGTTGTTTGCTTCCCTAATGATAAAAGCCAGTAGGTCTGAACTGGAGAACTTTGTGGATATGACTGGGCTTGTTGTGACAGCTGTATATGTGCCATGGTAAAAAGTAATATGAATATTACTCCTATACAAATGGAGTTTTCTGACTGAGCATGTGCAAAGTGCCTCTCTGCTGAGTAAGTGTAGCCGAAAGCTGATACCCCTGAGAGTAACTTGAAAATACTCTCCCCACTCTGAGGCAGATTCTTAGTTCCCGTCAGGTGCTGAACTGGCCCCCAGTAGTGTGATAATATTTGTGACTTTATAAATCTGAATGTCCCACCCTGTGACAGCAGGGGCGTAGACTTTCCAATTTGGGGGGGTGGGCTGGAGCTGAGCCAGAGTTGCTATGCTAGGTCCTTAAAAGAACTGAGGCCCAGTGACATCATAGGGAGGAGCCAGTGACATTACAGGCTATTGTCACTATCTATGGAGGTAGAGCCATGTGGGATTTAGGCAGGGGCTCCCCAGAAATTTAGGGGGGCCTGGGAACCCCCATAGCAATGCCCCTGGGCTGGGCTAAACCCAGGAAAACGTGGGAGTTGGCCAGAGGTCATAGTGGTAGCGGTCTCCTGCTGTGTCCTTTATTTAAATTCACTTTTAGAATAGTAGCTTTAAGATCTGCAAATATACATACCATGTACATCAGACAGAGTAATGGTCACAAATTTGACAGTAAGTAAGGCAACACAGAAAAGCCTGTAGGGGAACATTTTAAAAATTTACCTGGACATTCATTTACAGGATTCTTGTTTCTGCCTTATTTGTAAGGGTGACTTTGTACAGAAATGTACTAAATTATGGCATCTCAGATGCCTTCAATTAGTAAATGCATGGCTGAAGTCTCTGAGCCAGGACAGAATACCAAACAGTTGCTGTGTCATGCCTGCCCCTGCTGATGTCATGCCTGCCTTTGCTGATGCCCCTGAACAGGCTCCTGAGGACCCTGAACAGGCTCCTGAGGACAGTACTGCAGCAGAAAGGCAAAGACTGGATCCTGTAGCTGAAAGCTATCTAAGTGGTGAGGAGGATAGAGCCTCCCAGGGAACACCTGCAAGGGATCAGTCTCTGCTGCAGCCCAGTAATTCATCATCAGACTCGGCTCCACCTGTAACCAGGCTCAGGAATGTAAGAAGACAACAGCTGAGAGAGCGAAGGCAGAATGCACGCATGCGTGCCAGAAGATCTCTTAGCCCTGATTACTGACAGGATCCTGTCCTCACTCCTGGCTAGCTAATGAGTTGATTAGCTAGCACTGTATATATGCAAGTCTGTTGCCAGCAGTCATTTGTGCTGGCAACGTCGTTTGTTCAGGACCTGAATCCTTGCATCTCTGCTCCAGACCTTGTGGAATTCGTCTCGGCTTGATCCTTGGCTTTTGATCTTCGGCTTTGTTGACCCTGCGTTCATCTCTGACTCCTCTGGTATTGTTGTGATTTATGGACTTGAAACTTTGGTATGTCTGACCCTGCTTTTGGACTGTGATTTAAACCTGCTTGAACCTTGCTACCTGGTTTGCCCGGCTTGACCTCGGACTGTTCCTGGACTTTTGCTTGCTTGTGTCACGCCCCCTGGTCCTGCCATGACAGATTGCCAGCACCCACAACGCTCACACATCCCCACCATGGAAGACGGAGCAACCGGAGGTGTGGACCCCATGGAGGAAATGCTAGCACAGGTACAGCACTTAACTCAAGCTGTGATTGCTTTGCAACAACAGGCTGCTACAAATGCTGTTGCTGTAGCAAATGCTGGTACACCTCCCCCACGTTGCCCAATAAATCCTCCTGATCGTTTCGGTGGGAATGTTGATGAGTTCCAGGCATTCCTTGCCCAATGTAATCTGTATATTGAGCTCAGGGCTCGGGACTTTGTTTCTGAGAAGGCTAAAGTTTGTTTCATTTTAAGCCTCCTTAAAGGGCAAGCTGCCAAATGGGCCACGCCCTTGCTGGTGGGGAATTCTCCCTTACTATCTGACTTCCAGGCTTTCAAGGCTCATTTTGCCGCTGCTTATGCCAATCCTGTGAAAGCTGAAACAGCTAACCGCAAAATAAGGGCTCTTACTCAGCATAAAACCTCTGTCGCTCAGTACACCAATGAGTTCCAGCTGCTGGCTCAAGACCTGACATGGAATGAGGCAGCGTTTATTGACCAGTATACTGAAGGGCTGTCTGACGAAATTCTAGATGAACTTGCACGCAGTGAACGCCCTGACACTTTACAAGCCCTCATCCATCTCTGTCTCCGCATTGATGGGAGGTTACAGAGCCGCCGCCAAAACAGAAAAAAGGCTCTCGCCTTCCCCAGCAGAACCCTTCAGACCTTCCACCGGCCTTCCTCCCCCGGCTCCTCTCCACCTCCTGCAGGCACAGAGCCCATGCAACTTGGCACCGCTCGGCCCCGCCTTACTTCTGAGGAGAAGCTGAGACGGCGCACTCAACAGCTGTGTCTGTATTGTGGAGAAGCCGGGCATTTTGCCTCCAGCTGCCCTGCCAAGCAGAAGCGCTCACCACAACCGGCTCCACCGGTAAAAGAGCAGCCCCAAGCCTGACCGGACCCCCCGGTTTGGGGCCTATTCTGGGGTCCTCCAGTACTCCATACTCACCACAGACTCCCTTCCTGGTGCCAGTGCGGTTGCAACTCCCAGACAACCGCTGGCTCTTCATCCACGCCATGTTGGACTCAGGGGCCGCCTGTTGTTTCATGGACATTCTTTTTGCCAAAGAACACGGCGTTCCCCTTCAAGAGAAGGCAACCCCAGCGCTTGTAGAAGCCATTGATGGACGCCTGCTCCGCTCCGGACCCGTCGTCCAAGAAACCCAGCCACTCACCTTGTGGATACAGCAGCACCAGGAACAAATAACTTTCGACTTGGTGAGGATGCCGAGGTTTCCAGTCATCCTGGGTCTCTCCTGGCTGCGCCACAACAACCCTCAGGTAGACTGGGTACATCAGGAGCTCCAGTTCGGCACCAGTCCTGCACCCACGCCTTCCGTGGAAACGATGGTAGACACCCCGTCTTCAGCACCATCGCCAGAACCATCACCAGCTGCTTTGCTGCTGGGCGCTGCGGCTCCCGCTTTACCTGCCACCTATCAGGACTATGCAGACGTCTTTGACGAAAAGGAGGCAGACCAGCTACCCCCGCATCGGCCCTACGACTGTGCCATCAACCTCATCCCCGACGCTCCGTTACCCTCAGGCCGCCTTTACCCAATGGCAGAACCGGAGCTGGCTGCGCTGAGGGACTATTTGGACAAAAATCTGGCCAGAGGGTTTATTCGGCCCTCTACGTCTCCTCTGTCTTCCCCAGTCCTCTTTGTGAAAAAGAAGACAGGAGACCTCAGGCTCTGCAATGACTACAGGGCCCTGAACAAAATCACCATACGGGATAGGTACCCCCTCCCGTTGATCCCTGAGCTCATGGACCGTTTGCGGGGAGCTCAAATCTACACAAAGCTAGACCTGCGTGGCGCCTACAACCTGGTGAGAATCAAGGCAGGAGATGAATGGAAGACCGCCTTTGGTACCCGCTATGGCCAATATGAGCACTTGGTCATGCCCTTTGGCTTGACCAACGCCCCTGCAGTGTTCCAACGCTTTATGAATGACATCTTCCGTGACCTCCTCGACCGCTTCGTGGTAATTTATTTAGATGACATCCTGATCTTTTCCGCCACCGTGCCTCAACACATTGACCACGTAAGGCAAGTGTTGCACCGCCTGCGCACCCATGGACTCTATGCGAAACTAGAAAAATGCGAGTTTCATCGTAAGTCTGTTGAGTTCCTGGGGCATATTATCTCCCCTGAAGGCACGCTGATGGACCCCAAGAAGGTGGAAGCCATTCTCCAATGGCAGCCTCCCAAAAACCGGAAGGATGTTCAACGCCTCCTGGGGTTCTCCAACTACTACCGCCAATTTATACTTGGCCAGGTGCCCTTCCCCGGGCTCCTGGGGGGGGGTTATGAGCCTGCTCACCCCCTCCATCTGCCAGAGCACGGAGACACCCCCGGGAGGTCCGGGAGGTGAGTCTGTGAGCGTGCCGCCATCAACCAGAA